ACGATCTTACATTATACTCACTCGTTTATTATAAATATAACTAGAGGGTTGTTGCCCCCATATATACATGAAGAACACTTTTTTTTTTTTTTTTTTTTGAAGAGGGGGGAATTGAAATTAAACACGAAGTCACTATTTGAAAGTGTGAATTTTATAAATTTTACTCATATATAATAGCTCACAAACATACGAAAGGTAAACCGCAATAGAAAAATTTAGTACGACTAACAAAACAAATAAAAAAAAGTGTTAATGACCTTGTGGTCTAGTGTCATGAAGTAATAACTCTCTCGAATGGGAGGTAATGTGTTCAATTCCCAGTGGGGGTGGTATTGACAATTTGTGTTTTTAGTAGTTATTTTTGATATCATGTACCTTGATTTTTTTAGTCCAGTTGGGTCTATAATATTATGCTATGTGTCTTGTGTTTTTTTTCTGTTTTGTGTTATTGTCATAGATGTGGCCATGGGGCTTGCTCAAGACTGAACCAGCCCTGAATCGACCCAAAAAGATCGGGACCGACTTGTACAGGGCCGATCCAGGTCCTATTAAAAAATAGCCTGGGGCCAAGCTCGAAACTTATGTAGGATCGGGTTCATGCGCGGCCTAGGTCCGGACTTTGGCCAGTATGAGTTTGAATTTTTAAAAAAATAAAGTGTTTTTAATTTCTTTTAGATAATGCTTCTTCGAATACTAGATCTATAGATTTTATACTTGAAACATTACATTTACCTATTAATTGTTAATTATTGCATATTATATATCTTACCATGTTCAAGAACTTTAAAGTTTGAATGATTTTGTTAAATCGATTAGAAAATGTGCTAAATGACTTAGATACAATTGAAACAAAAACAAACAAAAATATTGACTTTAAATATTGTGTGCACAAACATAAAACAACATGATTTATAAAAAAAAAAAAAAAAAAAAGACATTTTAGTTAGTTTTTTTTTTTTTTTCTAAAAAGAATGACATTTTAATTAAGTTAGTAGAAAATATTATTAAGTTCTAATTGTGAAGAATGGTTCAAATATTATTTTAAATAAAAATTATATATATATATATATATATATATATATATATATATATATATATATATATATATATATATATATATATATATATATATATATATATATATATATATATATATATATATATATATATATATATATATATATATATATATATATATATATATATATATATATATATATATATATATATATAGATGTTTAAGTTCGAGTGCGGGTGGACGTTTCTTGTGCAGTTGTGCGGGTGATTAATGTGCGCGAGTTTTATACTTAATGTGCGTGAGTATTGTACTTAAAGTGCGTGAGATTTGTGCTTAATGTGCGTGAGTTTTGTACTTAAGGTGCGTGAGTCATGTGCCTAATGTGTGTGAGTTTTGTGCTTAATGTGCGTGATTGTGTACTTAATGTGAGTTGTTGTGTGAGTTGTTGTTGAAACTTTAAAGTGCATGAGTTTTGTGGTTAATGTGCGTGAGTTTTGTGCTTAAGGTGTGTGAGTCTTGTGCTTAAGGTGCGTGAGTTTTGTACTTAATGTGCGTGAGTGTGTACTTAATGTGAGTTGTTGTTAAAACTTAAGGTACATGGTTTTTGTGCTTAAGGTGCGTGAGTTTTGTGCTTAAGGTGCGTGAGTTTGTGTTCTGAATGTAATTTGTTTGTGTGTTTAATGTGCGTGTGTTGTGTACTTAAAGAGCACCAGTGTAATGCTTAATGTGCGTCCACTCGCACCTGATCCCCCCCCCCCTCTCTGTGTATATATATATATATATATATATATATATATATATATATTTCGGGCCTAGCCTTGGACTGGCCCACGAAAGGCTTGGGCCTAAGCATAGGACCAGCCCGGGCTAGGCCTAGCACAAGACCTGTCCAGCTAATTCCAGGCCAGTCCAATTCCATGCTAGCCTGCTAGGTCTGGGACTAGTCCAGACTCAAACATTGCAATCATTATTGCATGGACCATGGTTCATACAATTGTGTGGAGCATAAATAATAAGTACATTTTTAATATACTAAAGGTACATTATTTTATACTAAAAGTACATTATTTGAGGGTATATTATTTTAGTACCAAAAGTACATTATTTTATATATACTATCAAATAATGTACCTTCAGTACACAAATAATGTACCTTTAGTATATTAAAAATGTACCCTATATTCATGGTCCACACAAGTTGTATGGACCATGGTCCATACAATAATTTGCCCAAACTTTGGCCACACAGTCGTTATATCGTGCATCGCGGTGCATAATCGATTATGCACTGCGCGTCAAAACAGCGCCATTTCTGCAGTTATAACGGAGTGACACTACAGTGTGTTTAAAAATAAATTTGTATCAGTAATATAATCCACTTACACTGTGAACTACGTTAGAGAGTATAATTTACTATGTTCGCCAGCACAAATTCATTAGTCAGAGAATAATCAAAGAGCATAAATGAGGAAGGTGATTTACCTGTTAATTTCTTATCACGTTCATTATTTAATTCTTCAAGCTCTTTCTTTTCTACCTTCCACTTAGACTTAGTTCAACCTGTTCAATTGTAGTGAACATAACACCATATACAATACACTGGATTTAACAAAACATATCTTTAAATAACCTATTCCATTTAAAAGTGAGTGGTGGCTAGAAGGATTCTACCTATGTATATAAACACACAAAACATTCTCAATTTAAGGCACAAGCACTCTCAGTTTGCACCGTACCTACTCAGCCTGCTTGATGTGAATATCCTTGAGCCGACTCTTTTGTTGTTAGGGATGCATAATTGGAGACAAGATTATGCTAGTTTGGGGACCAAAACCAGGTCAAATGATTTGGCCAGATTCACAAAGCCTTTGAACTATCAACTATAACTACAAACTTTTGACAAACTATTATTGTCCTTTAGATAGTTGAAGAAAACAAATTGAATAGGCAAAATGAACACCAAACTTACACAAAATTAACAACGAAAATATAATAAAATGCAAGCTTAACAAACATGCAGAAGCAATGCTAAAAGATAACAGAATTAGCGAAGAATAAATATGGAACGAACAGTACAGTGAAGAATTGAAAATATAATTCCTATAAGACCACATCTCACGATCTTCAAGCTCACTTACGAGAGTCGGGAGTGTAGAAGGTCTAGACTACTCGTGCTTAATGAGGAGGATTGGTAACGTCACGAGAGTGCAGTGGGACCAAATCTCCTTTTACCAAATTGGTCTAATATTGGGTTACAAAAGTGGCATGTTAGTTAACCAATTTGGAATTCGTTCGTTATTATTGATCGTGTTCACTTTTCGTCCCTATGCTATTATTGATGTTGCACTTTTCATCCCTTTACTAACAAAACATTAGGGACGAAATTTGCAACACTAGTATAGCTTAGGGACGAAAAGTGCAATGTCAAGTCACCAATTATAGCTTAAGGTGAAAAGTGAACACAACCTATAATTACTCTATAACTTAGGAATGAAAAGTGTAATTTTTTCAATATATAGGAAATGCCACAGTACCGATTCTTTTGGTTTTTGTCTATGCCATATTTATTTTTCGCTAATTCTTGGTGAAATGTGATCATTTCCACAGTACCGATTCTTTTGGTTTTCAATATGATGTATACCTAGTACAAAAATAATGTATATTTGTACATCTCCTGAATATAATGTACATTATTTTACAGTATACAAAATATGGTCTACACAACTTGTGTGGACCATGGTCTATACAATAATGATTGGCCTTCACATCATTAAGATTGTCGGGCCAAGTCTCCAATTTTTCCATCCGAGGTAACAACAACAACACACACCTTAATATAAAATTTTGTACATTAAGAGTATGAATTTGGTGCCTCATCTATGTGGACCTTGATCCATGATTTAAATTCCAAGATATAAGCAGGCCAATGATGAGTTGGACTAATTATTATTGCATGGACCATGGTCCACACAATTGTGTGGACCATAAATAAAAAGTACATTTTTAATATACTAAGAGTACATTATTTATGTACGTAAGATATATTTTTGAAAGTACATTTTAATATACTAAGGGTGCATTATTTTATATAATGTACCTTCAGTACAAAAATAATGTATCTGCAATACAAAAATAATGTACTTTTAATATATTAAAAATGTACCTGATATTTATGGTCCACACAATTGTGTGGACCATGGTCCATGCAATAATTTGTAGAGTTGGACAGTGTCAATCTAAGTTTGATCATTTGACACTTCTATTTGCACCTGATGATTGGAGACAAAATCTCTAATGAAATAATCTCTTGTATGTGTATCTTTATCCGTGAGACATGTCCGGTTTTTTATAAGTCAAGAAGATCATAGACAAAAACCAGAAGAATTATACACAATTATATTCTTCCAGCAAACTTCAAGAAAATTTCATTTCTTATAAACATAATCCAATAAATCATGTACCATACATCTCCCTAATCTTGGACAGAATTTAGAAATTGGTTAAATAAATGATAGTCAAATAGTTCAAGAGTGATGTGACCATTATATCCTTCAAAATATGTTGTCTCATGCATAATAGGACCAAATTGTTTAAAAATGATACTTAAAGCACTAAATTAGACACTTTTTTAATACGAAGATCAAATAAGTCAAATCGATATAGTAGAGACAATTTTGATCATTTACTCCATAAAATTATAAAGCAACTCTTGACCACAAATATACTCCGGCTTCAAATACTTGTTTCAAGCCACACTTATTCAGTATTATAACATAAATCAATTTTTTTTTTCTAACATTGAAAGTGAAGAAAACATTTGTCAAGGCTAATTTTTGGCTAAAGAGAAAATTCAGAAAATACAAAAAGTAACTTAAGTAAGTAGGTAAAAAAGTTTGAAGTGATAATAAAGGCCAGAAGAGAAGATCAAAGACAAACTCAAAAGATAGAGTTCCCTACACAATTCTTCTACCAAACTTCTTCAAGAAAATTTCATTTCTTTTATACATACATAACCCAATAAGTCATGGACATCTCCCTTATCTTGGACAGAGTTCAGAAATTGATACTTCATTTACCGTTGTAGATAGTGCTAACTCTATCTCTTTCGGAATCCTCTTACTTTCACTACGGTAAAATGCAGGTTCACGAGGTGTTGGCCAACTGTTAGCAAAATAACTATTGAGCATTAACATCACCTTTGTCATTGTAGGTCTTTCATCTGCATTTTCTTGAACACATAACAAAGCAATATGCATGCATGGGATGACTTCATTTACTGTATAAGACTCTCCCAGAGTTGGATCAAGTATTTTGATTTGACAACCATCCCTCCAGTGTTCCCAAGCCTACAACATTATTACATAAATGTTCATAAGTTTGTCATGATGACATAATATATATCATGAAGGATTATTTCTAAACCAACACATAAAAGTAGATTATTTAAAATGAAAGTTTACGCTCACATAGCTTAGAAGGTCCATTCCTCTATTTCTTTTGCAAATATCGTGATTTTTTTTTCCAGTAATGATCTCTAAGAGTATAACACCGAAGCTGAAAATATCAGACTTCACAGAAAATTCTCCACACCTTATATATTCGGGGGACATATAACCACTACAAAACAATATAATCATTAGTGCAACAACATAGTATAGGGAATACAATTAAAAGTAATGTATCAAATAATGGCACTTCTTCAATGATGACTTAAAAACCAAATGTAAGTACAATTTTCATTATCTATTAAGAATATGCAAATAAATGCATGTGGTTAAGATGCATATAGTATAGCTTACTATGTCCCGGCAATTCTGTTTGTATTTTCTTGAATCTGATCAATTCCAAAAATTCTCGCCAAGCCAAAATCAGCAATTTTTGGGTCCATATTTGTGTCTAATAATATATTGCTTGTTTTGAGATCTCGATGTATGATTTTTAGACGTGAATCTTCATGAAGGTAAAGTAGTCCTCGTGCTATTCCTCTTATTATGTTGTAACGCATTGACCACTCCAATTTGTATTGTTTCTCACGATCTAAATATATCAAAATATATGCCCATATTACACCAAGTGTTGGGGAATTACCATTCAAGTTAAGTGCAATGGAAGAATAAAAATTTTGAGGTTTGAAACTCACCAAATAAAAAGTAGTCAAGACTTTTGTTGGCCACAAATTCATAGATGAGTATCTTTTCTTCTTCTTGTGAGCCAAATCCAAGTAGCCTAACTAAATTTTTGTGTTGAAGCTTTGCAACTACTTCGACTTCATTCTTGAATTCTTGAGCTCCTTGTATTGAGCTTCTTGAAAGGCGTTTTATAGCTACTTCTTGTTTGTTGGGAAACATTCCCTAGTATTAATTATAAACAAACAATTAGAATGGACTAAAATGAATTCGCACGCGCACACACACATATATATAGATTGATGTTCGGGCAAATCAAGCCAAGGACTTTACCTTATATACAGAGCCATATCCACCTTCACCAATTTTACTTTTTAGGGAGAAATCATTTGTAATAGCTTGAATAATAGCAAAATCATACTGTGAGGACTCCTCATCAGCTGAAACTCTTGTCGGATCTACATGGAGGTTACAAAATTCTAATTAAGATGCAAAAACTTAGCATATATGAATGCATGGGAATAATATTATTATATTGTAATACAAACAAGCTAAGCATAGATCAGAGAAACTCAGATCCCAATGAATCTGGTACTTTAATTACCTGTTGTAGTCTTTGTTGTGATATTTTGTTTCTTCACATTTCTAATTCTCACGAAATAGAAGATTGCAATGGGGAGTACAATTATTCCAATAATGATCGGAACTACAATGCCAATAATCACTTTGGAAAATGAATTTCTGCTGTTGCCTGCATCATCAACTGGAATTAGTTCTATCTCATCAGCACCGGAACACACATGGTCTCAATTTTTAATGTGTCCAATAATTAGGACCTAATAGCAAAACCATTTTGTTTCCACAACAGCAAAGATGATGTCTACCTCAAATCCTGAATCTACAGAGATAACTTGAAACATGTACCATTTACTAGTTCAACACCAATATCGCCTGAGAAATGAGAAATTGATTCTTCCCCTAACATATCGTTCTACTTGCATTCTAATTAACGATGCGGCAGTCAAACAAGTAGCCATTAGCCAGGTAATTTCAAGATATTTTTTTTTCTTTTTTAAAAAAGATTCGGTTTGTTTGGATTTTGGAAATAATAAGTTAGTATGAGTCTTATGGTTTGATTTTAAAAATTATGCTCATACTTTTAGTACGGTATCATTTATTTATAAGAACAAGACCACAAAAAATCTAAAAATCGGCCCTAGGTGACACAACAGCTTAAAGCTTTAGTATTGAAGGAGAACCATGAAAGTGTTAATTACCTTCAGAATTGTAGAACTTGTACAATTCATACCTAACAATACAGCTTGGGGAGAGCACTCTAGCACCCAATGCTGACTGGCAACATGTAAACAGTAGTTGCACCGCAGTTTTTAGGCACGTCTGACAATCCGACTCAGAAATATCCGGCGTGCACTGCCCAAGACTGTAAACCCTCTTAGATTCAGAGATGATAGCTGCTTCATGAGTGACAAATCTCTTTCCGCTCTGTTGACTGATCATCTCCACCAATGTCTGTACTACCCCCTGCTTGAAACCCTGTCGAGAATCCTTCTCCCTAGCACTCGTATTCAACGGGGATAACGGCGGGAACGTATACTCGTCCGAGAAACGCAGCATACAGTGATCGTACCAGATAACGGCGGTCTTTTGTTGGGGACATAACTGCAGTATGTCTGAGGAAGCTTGGTTTACGCAGGTGGCGCAGTCGCTGGTTGTATTGGAGAAGACAAATACACCCTCAGATGAAATAAAGAAGTGAGGGTGTTTGTGTAATTAGGCTTGGTTAAAGTCTGTTACAACAGCTTGTAACCATCTTTACCGCCCAAAATGCTATGTACTTAAGCTTTGTATTCTTCTCCTTTTCTAGCTAATGAAACAGTATCACTCTTCTCCTTCCCAATCTTATCTTCTTCCTCTAACCGCTTTCTGCTTCGTTCATTATGGTATCAGAGCTCCGATCAGGGAGTTACGCCGTAGCAGTCGTCGGAGAAACTAGCCATGGAATTCATCCGGCAACGTCAACAGCCAGGTCACCCGATCACGCACCACCAGCAGCAAATAGCCAGGGCATTCCAGTTCCACAGAGGAACAACAGTGAAGATATTGAGAATCCTCTCTATTTGAGTGCCAACGAGAATCCTAACGCAGTTCTCGTCAGTCCTGTGCTCACCGGTAGCGGAAACTATGCGTCTTGGAGCATCTCGATGCGTGTGGCCCTGGAGGTCAAGAACAAATGGGGGCTAGTTAACGGGAGTATTCCGGTGCCGGATAAAGCTCACACTCAATATGGTGCTTGGCGTAGATGCAATCTAATCATGTCTTCATGGATTCTGAGGTCCGTTCACACGTCCATAGCGCAAAGCGTGATGTATATAGGCGAAGCAAAGGAAATCTGGAACGATCTGAGAAGGAGGTTTTCACAACAAGATTCACACCGGATCTCATCTCTGCAGAATGAAATATATGGACTGAAATAAGGAGGATTGTCCGTTAATGAGTACTACACCAAATGCCGCACTTTGTGGGAAGAGATGAATGCTCTTCGACCCCTCCCAATCTCCAAATGCACACCACGGTGTGCCTGTAACTGTGCTTGTGATCTGGTGGCTGAAATCAGAAAGGATCGAGAGATTGATCACGTTATCAGATTTTTGCAAGGTCTGAATGAAGAGTATAACTCTTTGAAGTCCGGAGTCCTTGTTCTTGAGCCTCTTCCCGAAATGCACAAGGTTCTAGTCATGGCGGAAAAGTTCGAGAGACAACTCAACCACAGTAACTTGAGTCATCTTGAAGCAGAGATTGGACACACAAATGCAGTTCAGAATGAACAGATACAACCTGATGAACCAATTGCTGCTGCTGCCAATTTCTCTAATGGCAAGAGGTTCATAAACTCAGGTGGAGGAACGAAGAACACTGCTAAGTGTACTTTTTGCGGGATGAACGGACACACAATTGAGAAGTGCTACAAGAAGCACGGGTATCCACCGGGTTGGGTGCCAGGCTATAAGTCCAAAGGAAAACAGCTCACCACCAATGCCATGCAATCTGATCTCAATTCATCATCTATGCAGCAGATTCAAAATCTTATTTCCCTCCTTCAGGATCAGATTGGACACAAACAACCATCCATCAATGCAGCAGTCCCTATGACCTCTAAAACACAACAATCCACCAGTGCCACAGTATCGCTGGCTCCCAATTTCAACAGTAATGCTCATAACCTAGAAGGCAAGTGTGCAATTAACTCTATCTCTTTAAATTCTGCTGAGTGGATCATAGATTCAGGGGCCACCGATCATATTATATGCTCTATTGAATTATTTGATGAATACTATGCTGTGAAAGGGGCTATGGTTAATCTACCAAATGGGAATTGTGCTGCTGTTGAACATATGGGAAGTGTAAAGTTACATAATAATCTTTGGTTGAGAGATGACTTACACATTCCCTCATTCAAATTCAACATCATATCAGTGAACAAACTCTTGAAAAATTCTTCTCACTCTCTGTTATTTTCCTGTGGTCAGTATCTTCTAGTGGACCATGGGAAAATGACTGGCTTTGCTAAAGAGGATAAGGGGCTGTACCTGCTGAATAAACCACCAGTAGCTAAATCTGTTGACACTGTTGCTTGTAATTTTGATGATTCTATGCATTGTAATAACGTTGAGCTATGGCATCAACGATTGGGGCACTTTCCCTTGAATAAACTGCATTTTTTTAGATATTTCTGTCCCTAACACGAAGAACATGATTTGTGACATCTGCCATCTTGCAAAACATAGAAGATCCCCATTTTCTTTGAGCAATACTGTGTCTGCAGCCTGTTTTGATCTTGTCCACATGGACATCTGGGGACCTTTCCACATCAAGTCTCTAAAAGGGGAGAGATACTTCTTAACCATTGTGGATGACTGCTCTAGATTCACATGGTTAAAACTCATGCGAAACAAATCAGAAACGAGGGGATTGATTAGAGACTTCTATAAGATGGTTCATACACAATTCAGAGTATCTATAAAAACCATAAGGAGTGACAATGGTTTAGAGTTCAAGATGCAGGATGAATTTGATAAGAACGGAACCATTCATCAACAGTCATGTGTGAATACTCCTCAACAGAATGCAGTGGTTGAAAGAAAACACCAACATGTATTGGCCATTGCTCGAGCTCTGAGATTTCAAGCCGGTCTCCCTCTCGAATTTTGGGGGCAATGTGTTGTTCATGCAGTATATATCATTAACAGGCTCCCCTCTGTAGTCATTGGTTGGTCAAGTCCTTACTACAAACTCTATGGTAAGAATCCTGACCTTACTAACATGAAAGTTTTCGGATGCTTATGCTATGCTGCAACTTTATCTACTGCAAGACACAAAATGGCGCCACGAAGTAGAAAATGTGTTTTCATCGGCATGCCTGCAGGTGTAAAAGGTTATCTGCTGTATGATGTCGATGCCAAGATCACCTTCATATCCCGTGATGTGGCTTTCTATGAGAATCAATTCCCTCTTGCATCCCAGAATGATGACACAAATAGCTCACAGAATATGGAGCCTTCCCTGCCAAATATTTCCACAACAGATTTTGGAGATGTCAACTTTCACATGAACCATCAGCCATGTGAAAAGAGCTATGAACAAGATCAAGATCTTGTTCGGTCACCATCAGAAAGATCTCAGAACTCCTATCATTCTGCACGAAGTGTCCATCATGGTGTTAGCAATGACAACACAGCCATAGTGGCCAATGACCATGTTGATGACATTGAAGATAACATGGACAGCTCTAATTCGATTCCTACCCGTCCAGTTCGGCGGTCTAGCAGACAAAGGCAGCCATCTAGCAGATTGCAAGATTACTACTGTGACAGTGTCACTCAACAGAGGTCTTCACCCCATTCCCTATCAAAGGTGATGACTTATGACACTCTTGAGCCATCCCATAGAGCCTTTTCTATGGCAGTCACATCCACCACCGAACCAAGAACATACAACCAGGCTGTTAAACATACATGCTGGAAGGAAGCCATGTCTGCAGAGATTAGAGCTCTTCAAGAAAACAAAACCTGGGAACTCACCGAACTACCATCGGGAAAGATCCCTATAGGCTGCAAGTGGGTATACAAAGTAAAATTAAAGGCCAATGGCACGGTTGAAAGATATAAAGCGAGGCTTGTGGCGAAAGGCTTCACACAACAACTAGGTGTTGATTACCTCGAAACGTTCTCCCCAGTTGCTAGGCTGACAACAATTCGGACATTCATATGCACAGCTATTTCCAAATCTTGGCACATCCACCAATTGGACATCAATAACGCTTTCTTACATGGTGACCTTAACGAAGAAGTCTATATGGTGTTACCCCCGGGTTTTGAGTGTGAAAAGCCGAAACAAGTATGCAGGCTATTACGCTCCTTATATGGTTTGAAGCAAGCAAGCCGCCAGTGGAACGCAAAACTTAGCTCAGCTCTTATTCATATTGGTTTCAGCCAATCTCAAGATGACCCCTCTCTATTCACAAAAGGTGATGGCAACAGTTTCATTGCCCTTCTTGTGTACGTTGACGATATACTTGTTGCTAGTTCTAACATGAGCCTTATCACAAGTTTGAAACAATTCCTGGACTCCACCTTTAGAATCAAAGACTTGGGACCTCTTGGCTACTTCCTAGGGTTTGAAGCACACATGGGAAAAGATGGTTTAAGCTTATGCCAGAGGAAATACGCACTGGAAATATTAGAAGAAGCTGGCTTTCTTGAATGCAAACCGGTAGCTACACCCATGATTCCAGGTCTAAAACTTGTACACAAGGATGGTACTTTGCTCAGTGATGCTAGCATGTATAGAAGACTGATAGGGAGACTTCTATACCTTACTGCCACTAGGCCTGATATCACATATGCTCTCCAACAGCTTAGCCAGTTTTTAGATGCCCCTACAGACATACATTTGACAGCGGCTCACCGAGTGCTACGATATATTAAAGCCTCACCTGGTCAGGGATTAGTCTATCCCTCACAAACAAGATTACATATCAAAGCCTTCTCGGACTCCGATTGGGCGGCATGCAATGAAACACGCAAATCCGTCACTGGTTTTTGCATTTTTCTTGGCTCTTCTCTCATATCTTGGAGATCAAAGAAGCAAGCAACTGTCTCCCGCTCCAGTTCAGAAGCTGAATACCGTGCTCTTGCAGCTACCGTGTGTGAAATACAGTGGCTTACATACTTACTTCATGATCTCAAAGTCTCGGATACTAAGCCTGCAGTTCTATTTTGTGACAGCAAATCTGCGGTGGCTATTGCAGAGAATTATGTCTTCCACGAACGCACCAAACATATAGAGATCGATTGCCACGTGGTTCGTGAGAAGATAACCAAAGGATTGATCAAGCTCTTATCTGTTTCAACTAAGAATCAAACGGCCGACGGCTTCACAAAGCCTCTCCCCACGTCTATGTTTCACGGCTTCATTAATAAGCTTGGCATACAAAATTTGTACGCTCCAGCTTACCGGGGGGTATTGGAGAAGACAAATACACCCTCAGATGAAATAAAGAAGTGAGGGTGTTTGTGTAATTAGGCTTGGTTAAAGTCTGTTACAACAGCTTGTAACCATCTTTACCGCCCAAAATGGCTATGTACTTAAGCTTTGTATTCTTCTCCTTTTCCAGCTAATGAAACAGTATCACTCTTCTCCTTCCCAATCTTATTTCTTCCTCTAACCACTTTCTGCTTCGTTCATTAGGTTGAGACATCGCCCTGGCACATGAACATGCCGTACACGGTGTCGCGGTCGCCGCTGCCGGCGGCGAAGTTGTAGAAACCATTTTCAACGTTGCCTTTGGAAGAGAGGGTGGTGAGGAGAAAGTTACGATTGGCTTCAAAAGTGCTGGTAAGAGTATAGGTGGGGATATTGTGACAAGAGTAGTATCTGTAATTGTGTTGGGAGGCAGCCTCCATGAATAGGGTGATCAGCATGCAAAAGCGGAGCAACATCGGAGGATGCATGATAATATGCTCGATAGATGTGTAATTTTGGTTTAACTTGTTTTTAATGATCTTAAATAGGAGATTAAGCTTGGAGGAGTTTTGAAAAGAAGAAAGAGTATCACTAGCTGGGATAACCCTAACTAACTTGGTTGGTGATGTTATTAGTTTGATAACCATAAAATTTTATTTTTGACCTTTAGTTGAGGTCTATTGATTTTCTTTGTTTGAAAGGGTGAAATATGCATGGGTAAGCTAAGCTGGTTTATATTTTTGTAGTCTTTGTTTGGACTAAGGTCACAATGTAAGATTTACTGAATGCACAATATCTGTAAGAATTGCTAATTTACCATATCAAAAAAGAGTATCACTAACTATCATAGTTCAACACCTAAACATCGAATTCAAGAAGAGTCACAAATTAAACCGGAGGCCATGGAATATTCATATGTACTATGGTGAGATATTACGATGGTTGATATGAT